GTGATTGTAAATTAGTGTTACTGAGAAGTGCCTAAAGGTGTACACATCATCCTGATTGTAAATTAGTGTTACTGAGAAGTGCCTAAAGGTGTACACATCATCCTGATTGTAAATTAGTGTTACTGAGAAGAGCATAAGGGTGTACACATCGTCGTGATTGTAAATTAGTATTACTGAGAAGTGCCTAAAGGTGTACACATCATCGTGATTGTAAATTAGTGTTACTGAGAAGAGCCTAAGGGTGTACACGTCATTGTGATTGTAAATTAGTGTAACTGAAAAGTGCTAAGGGTGTACACATCGTCATGATTGTAAATTAGTGTTGCTGAGAAGTGCCTAAGGGTGTACACATCGTTGTGATTGTAGATTAGTATTACTGAGAAGTGCCTAAGGGTGTACATCGTTATGATTGTAGATTAGTGTTAGTGAGAAGTGCCTAAGGGTGTACACATCGTTATGATTGTAGATTAGTGTTAGTGAGAAGTGCCTAAGGGTGTACATCGTCGACAAGACACCAGATAAGGTTTATGAAGTATAACAAGACACCAGATAATGTTTAAGAAGTACCACAAGACACCAGATAAGGTTTAAGAAGTACCACAAGACACCAGATAAGATTTAAGAAGTACAACAAGATACCAGATAAGGTTTAAGCATTCTACATACGTCCACCAAGTTTCATCAAAACCCAATCATTCTTGACTGAGTTATACAGCAAAAATAGTGTGAAAAACTGGTTCCAATGTTAACAGGTTGGAATTTTTTTGAGTTTCAAAAACTAATCACTTCTAAGTTGGATCATAGTCAATATGTATACCAAATCCATTCTTCCGTTTTCCAGAAATCTTGCTGACAACTACACACACACACAAGGGTGAAAACATAATCTCTGACCACATTCAGTGGTAATAAATCTGTTAAAGTGGAAGCTGACTGGATATATAAAATATAGAATAAAGGAAATTGAAATTCTAAGTCAAAAGTAAGCATCATTAATGTTGTTGTCTTTTCAAAAGTGTTTTCCAACAAAACTTTGACATTTTCATATAAAAAATGATAGAAAAACTAATTCCCATTAGGACTTTTTAATGTCTGTTCAAAGTTCATACAATCTGGTTAAGTGTTTTCCATGTGAGAAGGACAAAAAAAAAAATCAAGGAATATCAGTGACCACTCTCAGGTCCGAACACACTAAGTCTTTTAATATCTGACTTGAAAGACAGATGAAAAACTAATGAACAGTTCATCAGGAAAATACACGATCACACAATCCCATTACCAAGACTAAATGCATTATATTAATTTTTCTTCCTACCTGAGAAAATCCCACTGCCCAATTATTTCCAGCTCCTCCACCAGCTTTGGATAAGTAAATGTTTTCTGGATTATACAGTTTGGCGTAGGGAGAGTTCATTATAGTATGAATAACACGAGGCTCCAGATCGAGAAGAACTGCACGAGGAATGTAGTGGTCATCATCTGCCTGTTATATAAAGAAAAATTCAATAACATTTTATGAAATATTCCTTGATAAATTCAGCTAACCATAACCTGAGTATATATTCTTAAAATTCTAAGAATGAGTCATCCAACTGCCACATTACATATATAAAACACAACCTACAAAAACGAGCTATCTGCGACAAGAAACTTACCACTGATCCACTGCCACATTACATATATAAAACACAACCTACAAAAACGAGCTATCTGCGACAAGAAACTTACCACTGATCCACTGCCACATTACATATATAAAACACAACCTACAAAAACGAGCTATCTGCGACAAGAAACTTACCACTGATCTACCATGATTAAAGAACCAAAAGCTATCACAAATATATACTTTTTTTCTAAACTGTACGGATGGAAGATTTCACTAGTATGTCAAGAGCTACTGTTTGCTCTCCATTATTTATTATAGTAAAGACATCTGAGGCATGGTTTCAATGTTCAGGGATGAGTTACTGAGGAACAACACGAGTCAGTTTCTTCTACTGACACAGTTTTACAGTCAGTGAATTAATCAATTAATTAATGCTCTCCATAACTTAGTTAGTGATATTTGCTAATCAATTAATTAATGCTCTCCCTACCTTAGTCAGTTAGTACAGTGTTCCTCAAACAAACAAACTTTGTTGTGGTCACATTATTATTATTTTTATAAGTAATTTATTTTAACTGTTGGATGCCCGATAGTATTTTCAGTTTTTTGAAGGAAACGTGGGACATTTTATTAAGATTTTGTATACGCAAAAAGATCTTTTCAACGTTCAACTGTATGTTTAATTTCCTTTTCAATATTTAACTGTTATCATTAGTAGGTCAATATTTATTGTGAATGAGAAGTCGATAAGTAGAATAATTTTGTCTTCAAATCATACTATATTTTTTTTGTGGATCGCTACAAGATTATGATTTATATATTTAAATGGTGACTGATATTTATATAATTTAAACTTTATCATTATTAAAAATACATGGAAGACAAAGTTTCCAAGCCTGAAGATTGCTGAAGTACAAACTCTGCATACCATCTATTTAAGATCTTACTTCTTAAATTACCCACATACTCATACACATTTATTGTTCCAGAAATAACTAAAACAGTAACCTATTTAATGTCAAATATACATTTTATTTCCAACTTATTAATTAGGCAGTAACACTAATTTACAATCATGATGTGTACACTCTAAGGCACTTCTCAGCTAACACTAATCTACAATCATAAGATGTGTACACCCTTAGGCACTTCTCAGTAACACTAATTTACAATCACAAGACACCAGATAATGTTTAAGAAGTACCACAAGACACCAGATAAGGTTTAAGAAGTACCACAAGACACCAGATAAGGTTTATGAAGTACCACAAGACACCAGATAAGGTTTATGAAGTACCACAAGACACCAGATAATGTTTAAGAAGTACCACAAGACACCAGATAAGGTTTAAGAAGTACCACAAGACACCAGATAAGGTTTAAGAAGTACCACAAGACACCAGATAAGGTTTAAGAAGTACCACAAGACACCAGATAAGGTTTAAGAAGTACCAGTTAAAATAGCAGCGAGTAGCACCTAGGTAACGGTTAAAATGACAGCACAGAAGCACCTAAGTAACAGTTAAAATGAGATCACAGTAGCGCCTAGGTAACGGTTAAAATGACAGCACAGTAGCATCTAAACAATCACTAACAGCATATACCAATTTCAGTGGCATAATACCAAATTCATTAATAGTTCATGTTGTAACCCTTGAATTACAGAGCATATGGATCCCTAGTGGTTTTTTAAACATATTGTTCTAAACTGTTATACATGTGATGTCATGATCTTGTTGGTTACAGGTCTCTGATAACATATAAAACAATCAAACATCATCATTACAATTAACCCCCTAGTTATTGGTGGGATTCCCGATGTATTCTCTATATTTCCCTCTAAAATGACTATTATAACAGTTAAAAACATGAAATTTATATGGAATTGAGGAAAACAAACTTAACAAAATATATGGTTCTGCAGTATAAAAACAAGCCTGTAATTTCAAGATTAATACAAGTTTAAAACAATCAACTACATTTTGAGCAATGCTGCTGAACTTACCTATCATTCAGCTTTTCTAAGATGTAGGATCCCATTCCAGAGCCTGTGCCACCTGCAATCGAATGGCCAAGAACAAATCCTTCGAGACTGTCACTTCCATCTGCTTCTCGATCAATAATGTCAAAAATTTCTTCGTATAGACGTTCTCCCTGCAAGAAATATTTCAGGAATAAATCACAATACTTCATGAAATTAAAAGAAAATATTTAGAGGCATTTGATTAACTTGCATTAAGCCTATTAAGTCATTTTTTTTAATTCCATACATGGAGTCTTAACCCTAATCGGAGCACAGAACAGCTTTCAGGTGTCATGTGCAAATATGTACATAAAAAATAAAAATAATTAAATTATTTTAAAATAAAAAATATTTTAGAAATGATACATTGCCAAACTTTTGTTTCTGCTCCAGTGAGTCACACCTGCAAACACCGTTAATTTTGTTTACAATTTTTCTGCCTATACCAAATCACAAGTTTACATTTGCTAAGAAACTACCATCCATTGATAATATAATTATTGATTTTTCGTTTTTCATGTGACTTTCTTTCTCTATCTCTGGTTTTATTACTAGTCTTTCATTCCCATCTTTTATGATGCAAGAGTATGTGATTTGAACAATTACTAATGAAGCTCAGCTACAAGCTAGTACCATTAGATAATAAACTGTTTATGTTAGTCCATAATGAATAAAGTGGTGTTAGAAGTAATTTAAGGTTTTTGTGGGAATGTGACAACATCAAATACCTGCAACAACGAACAAAAGAATCTAATGGAAAGCTTGGAAGACTCAAAAATAAACCAGATGTGAGGAAATTTCTTCAGAGTTTCTTGCGATCTTTTCATTACTGAAAATGTTAAATTCTCTGTTTGAAAGCTCCAGACATTTAATTATATGACAAGACACCAAAGAAGGTTCAAGAAGTACCACAAGACACCAGATAATGTTTAAGAAGTACCACAAGACACCAGATAATGTTTAAGAAGTACGACAAGACACCAGATAATGTTTAAGAAGTACGACAAGACACCAGATAATGTTTAAGAAGTACCAGTTACCTAGGTGCTACTCGCTGTATTTTAACTGTTACCTAGGCGCTACTGTGATCTCATTTTAACTGTTACCTAGGTACTAGTGTGCTGTCATTTTAACTGTTACCTAGGTGCTACTGTGATCTCATTTTAACTGTTACCTAGGTACTACTGTGCTGTCATTTTAACTGTTACCTAGGTACTACTGTGCTGTCATTTTAACTGTTACCTAGGTGCTACTGTGTTCCCTATGTTAAAATATGTTGCTCTATTGTTTTCTAGTTAGACTTTGTTAGGTTCCATTTCTGTTTTACAGGTTTCCGAAGAAGCTGATAGAAACCTATTCTGTGTTTCCCAACCAGGATGAGATTAGTGATGTGGTTGTTCAACCGTACAATTCTCTGCTGACCCTCAAACGGCTGACCCAGAATGCAGATTGTGTTGTTGTACTAGACAATACTGCATTAAATCGAATTGCTACTGAACGACTACATATTCAGAACCCAACTTTTGCCCAGATTAACATGCTGGTAAGAAAGATGTTAAAAGTACACAAACTGTACAAATTTTCAGTACGGTATTAAAACTACCATTTAAGTAGATTACAGCATACTTTTGTAAATGACTGCAGTTGTTCTGATTTGATGACGAAGAATCCACTTTTAAGTTATAAAGTTTGTAGACAGCTTGAACGAAACAAAGCCTTATTACAGGTAACAAATGTACAATGATGACAGAAGCTTGTTGTACATTTCTTATAAAGTTTTCTTTGTTGCCCCTTCGTGCCATGTACAAACTTTATTGGTCATTCTAAGTTAAGTCTTCAACACTTTTAGAGTTATGTAGTTATTTTGTAGGATATTCAGATTAGTGTAACTACTTAGGTAGACACTAGAATTGAAAATAAATACTTGTCTAAAAAATTAACCTGTTTTTCGTATTAAGGTAAGATAAAGAATCCCTAGTTGATCAACAACAAAAGTTCTTTGTTCTTGATTAATCTATTAAATAGCGAAATAGCCAAGTAAATTAAATATGTAGGTATATCCTGAAATGATATGACAAGCAGAAATGGATAAAACTATTTTTTTTTCTTAAAAATGCAATAATAAAATCAAATTTTTTGTGACACACTGAGTGTTTTTGTAAGTTTAATATTGCCAGTTACCTGCTCAAATATGAATTTACTTTGTAAGACATAATAGAAACCTACATATACATTCATTTGTTCAGATTTCTGGTGAATATTTATAGCTTATAAGGTGAAGTGTGAAATGTCTTTGCTTCAAGGTATCAACGATTATGTCCGTGAGCACTACAACTTTGCGTTACCCCAGCTACATGAACAATGATTTGATTGGTCTGATAGCTCCTCTGATCCCTACGCCTCGTCTCCACTTCCTCATGACGGGCTATACACCATTAACAACTGACCAAGAAGTAAGTGAAATTTTACAATGGGTTCAGTTGTGTTTCTCAACTTTATGAAAAATAGCCTACCTATAATCACATCTTGTTAGTGTGGAGTGAGGTATGTAAAAAAATCTTCCTGTAAAACAATGTATCCTTCACAATATTAATTTTTAAAAGTTACATGACTTCGTAGTTTTAAATATACCTAACGTATAATAGTGTATAAATATATAGTTGTATTTTTCTGTTTGTCTTGAC